TCATTAAAACTAATAAAATTTAATAATAATAATAATAATTTAAAAAATTAAAAAACAAAAACAAACAACAAAAAAAGAAAGTTGTAGCTTTTATTTCTTGGTAGTTTTGAGGTCCCTGTCCCATTTCTACTCCTGGGATAATTCATTTTAAGATTAGAAGGATGGCAAAACTAAGCAGTCTCCTCATTTGGGTTCCATACACCTTGTTTGTTTGATTGCTCCCCTGCAGGGTTCTGTTCACCTTATTTGCATAGCTCCACTCAGTTCTTTGGTACTTCATACAAGACCATGGATGGAAAGGCTCTATAAAAACAACCTGTTATACCTTAGAATGATCTTTCTTAAATTTAAACACAGAATAGCATCATAAAATGAGTATCAGTCTTTAATATAACACAGATTACTATCATAAAATGAGTATCAGTCTATAATATTGTAATTAAGCTCCTTAATTTCTTCTTTTAAATTGAAAGTAAGAAAAATATAGGGAGTCTTCTCCCATAAAGACTTATGGCCTTGAAAATACAAAGGGTGTCACTGTAAGTTGGAATCTGCTCAACACAGTGGATTTGGTTTGGGTAGAGTATTTGGTTCTTTCTCATGCTGCTTGTGTTTTACTTGCATTTAAATTTTAGGGGTTTTGTTGGGTTTTTTTTCTTTTCCTCTGTCCTTCCCTCCCATTCCTGCTAACCATCAAAGATTTCTTTGTGTGTGTGTGAGTGTGTGTGTGTACTTTTCCTTAGCATTTGGTTTTGGGTTTGGAGTTTTTTCCCTGCATATTTTTATTGATTTATATACAATAACTCATATACATGTGTTTCATCCATGTATATTTATTGTATTCTATGCAATAATGTGTTTTCTTCCTATGCATTGTGGTTAATACAATCATTCATATGCATTGTATTATATATACTGTTGATCTATGCACATTGTTACCCTGTCCCCAATGAATCTTTCCTGTTCCTTAACCCCTTCATCCCCCTGCTAACCTCTGCTATCCTATTGATTTTCCTCCTTCCCCTTTTTCCACCCCCTTCTCTCTTTTCCTTTAATCCTTTTGAACATTTATATCTATATCTTGCTCAGTTATCCTTCTACTTTTACGGTAATGGTCATATGCAGTATTTGTCTTTATGACACTGAGTTAGTTCACTCAGCGTAATGCTCTCTAGACTCTCCAGTGTTACATGGTATTTTATGAAATTGATGTTCCATAGTGCTGCTTAGTATTACATTTGTGAGTATGCCACAGTTTCTCAACCCACTCATTTGCTAGTGAGCATTTGGGTTGTTTCCATTTTCTTGTTATTGTGAATAACACTGCCATGAACATAGGTGAGCATTTCTCCGCTCATGTCTCAATTCTGATAGCCTTGGGTATATTCCTAGCAGTGTAATAGCTGGGTCATCAGGGAATCAGGGATTACTTTGTTCTTTTTTTTTTGAGGAAACTGCCTTTCAGAGTAATTGTGCTATTTTACTATCCCACCAGCATTGAATGAGTATTCCAGTCTCTCTGCATCCTCACCAACATTTACTCATATAAGACTTATAAAAGTTGTTAGTCTTTTTCTTGTGGAGGCTTTGTAGTATTCTGTAAACTTTAGTTATGAGGTCTTTGTCTGAAATGTCATTGCCAAATGTTTTTTACCCCTGTCTGTAGGTTTTCTTTTCACTCAGTTGGAAAAGTGTTTGATGTAGAAGGTCCCATTTGTAAATGTCATTCTCTCCTGTGTTATGCATTCCCTTAATTTTGTGTCTGGCTTATTTCCCTCAGTTTAGTGTTTATCTCCAGGTTCATCCATACTGTATTATATTCTGAGAATTCTTCCTTACTTTTTAATATTTCTTAATATTCCATTGTCTTTTATAAAGTACTGTCATTTTGCCAGTCCTTGGTTGATGAGTACTGAGGTGTCCTTGCCTTTTTCTTGTGAATAAAGCCACTTTAGATATGAGTGTGCATATAAAATTTGAAGCTATTTTAACCCATCATTTGAGAAGTAGTTGGCCCTAACTTTTATTTACATCTCAATAAGTCCTTATCATTTATCCCTTAATCATCCAGTTTTAAAAATCCCTCTATGTTTGCTTTGTAGACTGATTTTGCACGATTTAGTGGAACAAATGTAGAAACTGATTTTGTAGAGGTGCCATCACAAATGCTTGAAAACTGGGTCTGGGACACTGATTCTCTCAGAAGACTGTCAAAACATTATAAAGACGGAAGTCCTATTACAGATGATCTGCTTGAAAAACTTGTTGCTTCTAGACTGGTCAACACAGGTATGACTTGGTATTTTTAGAAAGAAAAATATATTAGAAACATTTAATTCTAAATTCCTTGAATATTCTTCTAAAAAAGTTATTTTCCCTTTAATGATAATGATATCCTAAGAATGATAATATATCTAACGCGGAACTTTGGAAATGCTAAGATGTATTATAATAGGGGGCCCTGTTATTTTAAATCTTAGAAGGAGATGTTCATATTTTGTGATGAATATGGCTGGAATCTGTTTTAAAATCTATGATCTTATGATTTTAGAACACACAGTTCTCTCTTCTCTAAATATGCCCTAACATTCTTTCATTATTAGGTCTTCTGACCCTACGCCAGATTGTTTTAAGCAAAGTCGATCAATCTCTCCATACCAACACATCACTGGATGCTGCAAGTGAATATGCCAAATATTGCACAGAAATTTTAGGTGTCTCAGCTACTCCAGGTATGAAAATACTAAGGTTTGAACTCAGTTTCCCTGTGAAACACAGGCAGAGAAGGTAGAGTTCTTCTGACAGCTCGCCTGATTTGATTTTTTTCTGATTTCTGTAATCAGGCTTTGACTTTCAGATAAACATATTATGTCCTTATGAGTTATCCTCTCCAAATGTGCCGGAAGGGAAGGCGGGTCCAGTTCTGCAGCATTTTAGTGTAATGGAGAGTGTGCAGTTGGCCTCCGCCCCAGAGCAGCGAGAGCCACACATGTTTGGTAACACCTGCCTGGCTCCTCCCTCCCTATGTGCACCAAGAACTTCCCTGTGATTTGGCAGAAGTTTTAGAGAAGCATAAACATTTTCCTTGTTTCTCATTCTGAGATCAGTTCAGCCAGTTTGACTAGCAGTTTCCAACCTGATATTTTTTAAGGTTTTTTTATTTCTATTTTTCTAGTTTTGTTGGGCATGTATATGTAGTTAGTAAGGAGAATTCCTTTTCCTTATTTTTGATGACTAAGGAGCCCTTGGGCTGAAAGGTCAGTGGCTTGAATCCATAAACCAGTCTATGGAATAAAGATAAGCAGCCTCCTTCCATAAAGATTTACAACCTCAGAAACTCAGTGGAGGGCCACTGGACAGTGGGGTTTTGCTTTCAGGAAATTGTTATTAAAATGAATCAGTCACTTTTATAGAGATAATAAAGCTAAGACTGCTCAATTGAGTCAATCTAGGCTCTTTACTTTCTTTTATAATTTTTTTACAGTAGACTATAGGGCAACCTTTTGCTTCAAGCTACTTTTGAAAGTTGTACCTGAGTCTCCGGGTTGTATGAAGGACTGAAGTCCAGACTATTAACCAAAGCCTACCTAGAGCGGTCTCTGAAAACAGGCCTGGAGATCTGATTCTGAAAGGCCACGGGCTTAGAAACCCCACAGGATGCAAGTATACCCTACAGCACCTGATATAGCCACTAGTCCAGATCAGCTCAGTGGCACTCTTTCTAGACTTTAAAGTCGAGTTCTGGTTTACTAATTATTATTATTATGTGCTGTTGAGTAGGAACCACCTCTCAGGTGACCTTCCAGTGGGTTTTCAAAGAGTAAATCACACAGGAAGCAATTGCCCCTTTTTCTCCCATGGAGTAGCTTGTGGATTCGAATCACCTGTTTTTGGGTTGGCAGCACAACTCCTTATCATTAAACAACCAGAGCTCCTTGTGTTTGAGTAATGATCAGCCTAATATAAGTGTCTTGCAACACATCAAAATATAAAGAGGTATCACAAAGAATGGGGTTAGTATTACTGTATTTTTAAGACACATATATGTCTAAAGAATAGGAGAGACATAAACTTGAAAGTCTGAACTAGTTACTGGGTGTGGACAATCTCTGAAACTATTGTTAGGCCTCCCAGAGCTCATGGCCGAAACCAGCTCTAATGTTGAGCCATCACGGGAGAGAAATTGGAAAACATCTTTGCCAAGGGCATACTTAAGCCCAGAGGTTAGATCATATCACTCCTTCCTCCCACAACTGTACTCCCCACCAGGAAACTTTAGCTAACTGATAACCCAGTAATTAACACTTACCATCATATTGATTAAAATGTATCTTTCTTTAAAGGCACAAATATGCCAGCTACTTTTGGACATTTGGCAGGGGGATATGATGGCCAATACTATGGATATCTTTGGAGTGAAGTATTTTCCATGGACATGTTTTACAGCTGCTTTAAGAAAGAAGGGATAATGAATCCAGAGGTATTGTATTTGTTTCTCCTTTTGTGTTATAGTTATTCCTCTCTCTCTTTAACTTCTACATAAAATATTTATTATACCCTGATTTTAGAGTAAGTGTTTTGGTAATAATACCTTTTAACTTTAAAGCCTTGCATCTTCTCAAATCATTATCTATCCTTATTAAGTTGTATTATATAAGTCATTAACTCTAATTCTATAGATTTTTTTTAAAAATCTAACTGCATTTTCTTGCTTATTAACATTCCAATATATTACATAATTAGAAATTCAAAGCTTGTTTATTCATTTGAGCATTTATAGCTGCTAGTTTTGACATGTGCCTTTTATTGTTTCAGTTTTATAGGAGGTTGGGTAAGAGAGGTAAACTCCTGATGTAAAAGGTCTCCCCATGTTTTGATATTCTTTACATACTTTCTTTGTACATTTTTTCTGTGGGCGTCACCCTTTTTCCTATGACTGGTCCACCCCACCTACTACAGTTTGTATCCTAAATGCCTTTAAGTAACTTAAACTGCTTCATTAACCTGAGCCATCCCTTTCAGTGTTCAGTGAGTTGGCTGCCAAGTGGCTGCCCGCCAAGCCTTCCTGAGTAACAGCCCCCGAGTCTCCACTTTCAGTGAAGATTCAGCTGTCAGATTATTGCTAACTGATGCATTTTCCAGGATGTTTCTGACTTCTGTTTGATTCCGAAATTAGAAGAACAAATTAACAAAATCAGACTATATTTTATTTCAGCCAGTTAATTTGTTCTCTGAACTTTACATTTCTGGATTGCGTAGTGCCTTACATGTATACATTGAAATACAATACTATAATTAGACCACCATCAACCCTTCTCAAAACAAAGCAAAAAAAAACCCCAGACATTCCCATGGAGCCCACATTCTATGCTCGCAGGTCCCTTCAAGAACTTCCTCTTCCTTCCTGCCCACACAGTCTATTAGGTTCCTTTAAACCTCATTCCATTCCCTGGCTAACTCATTTACAAAGGTCAGCCATAGACTATTCTCATAAACAGCAGATTCATATGACCTTCAGGCAATTCTGAGTCCTGGATTCCTCCCCCATCGCATATAGAAATGGTGTCCTTGGAATGCCAAGTGTTCTGGGCCTGTTGAATAACTCTGTTAACATGGCCTACTACATAATCATGCCGTCCAGTCTGAGCTAGACACCAGCTCTCTTGTCCCACAACATGTCCCTTATTGATTCCTCCCCTCTGACAAGAAAGCTGAGACTGCTGAGTGTGAGCATGTTCGCCTTGCTTTTTTCTCTACTTCAATACATTTCTCTGTTGTTTGTTGTTGTTGTTATGTGTCGTCGAGTCGTTTGCAACTCATAGCGACCCTCTGTGCAACAGCCCTAAACCATGCTCTATCCTGTGCCGATCTCATTGCCTCTGACACACCCATCCCGAGTACCCCAGTCACTGAATCAATCCACCTCATAGAGGGTCTTCCCCTCCTGCGCTGTCCCTCCACTCTACCCAGCATGATGTCCCTCTCTAAAGACCTGTCTCTCCTTACAACATGTCCAAAGTATGTCAGACGAAGCCCCAGAATCCTTGCCTCCAAGGAGCAGCCTGGTTTAATCCTCTCTACGATGAATCTGTTTGAACTGTTTTGCCTTCTTGGAGGGAAACAAAAAATGATACTGATGCTAATAATCTCAATGCTAATGTTTTGTGTTTTTCTAATCGAAGCCTAACTCCTTGGTATGGGATACAGTCTTATTAATCCATTATAGTTTCTCAAATTATGTATCACTACCAATTTAGCTAGAACATCTCCCTCCAAAATTTCCACTGATTGTGGTACAATCTCAAAGGCACTTGGTTCAAATCCACCAGCTGCTTTGTGGGAGAAGGATGATCAATATCCTCCTGTGTAAATTTACAGCCTCTGAAAACCTCTGTCTGAACTGTCAGCTATGGGTCGGTTTCAATTCCACGATACACAAAATTTCCACTGATCACCTAATCACTAATTTCAAACTCTGCATCTACCTTTATCTTTTATTCCCTGCTTGGTATTCCTCTCCTTTTCTTCCAAAGCCATTAATTTGTTGTTGTTGTTGTTAGGTACCATCAAGTTGGAACAAACTCATAGCAGTTTTCAGAGTCAATAAATCAGATGGGAGGAGATTACCCATCTTTTTCCCACAGAACAGCTGTTGGATTTGAACTTGCACACCTTTCATTGGCAGCATTATTCCTTTCTGCTACACCACCAGAGCTCCCTACCCTTTGTTTAGCAATCATATTATTTCATTATTCTAGTATTCTCTATAAATCAGCCAACTCTGCATGCCCCCTGGATCTTTTAATCTTCATATGTTTGCTCTTCCATTTTCTTCTACGTGGAATATATTTATTTCTCATCTGTGCCTCTCAGAATCCTACCATTCTTAACACCCCAACTAAACTGCCACTCATTTAAGAAATCTTCCAGATCATCCCAGTTAGAAGTCATCTTTCTAGTGTCTGAACTGCAATATCTAATATAACTATTATGTTGTTGTTGTTGTTGTTGTTGTTGTTGATTGCCTCCAAGTCAAGCATGACTCGTAGCGACCCTAAGAACAAAAGACCTGAAGCCCCTCTACAACTATCAACATCGACATCTATCGAAGTTCATAGAGTTTCTGGAAGCATGTTATTTAGGAAGTGATGCCACTCCTGCTTCCAAATAACTATGATAAAAAGTAGGAAAAAATTAAATTATGGCTGTGCTCTGATGGCTTGTTGTTGTTGTCGTTGTCATAAGCTGTTGAGTCGCCAGCAACTCATAGTGACTCTGTACAACAGCTCTGAAGCCTGTCCTGTCCTGAGCAAGTGTCACTGACTCCAACACACCATCCCTCATTGCCACAGTTATTGTATCAATCCATTTCAAACCTAGGCTTTTGTTTATTTAAAGTTTTTTATTTTAACTGCAGATTTTATTTTAATGCACGTGGACTTTAGATTTGAAATCAGTCACATCCACTGATGACACATAGTCATCAAAAGCAGGGTTTTTTTCCAGCATATCTGTGCCAACTTTATCATCTTCAACTACACACTGTATTGGAAGCTTCTTAATTCCATATCCCATCAGTACTAGCTTAGAAAAGCCCCCGACTAAGCCCTCTGCCTGAATACTTCTAACGCACTCTTCCAGTCCTGCCATGTCTGTTTCATCATCCCAAGGTCTCACGTCTAATAAGATTGAAGACTTGGCGACAAGTGCAAGTTTCTTGGCTGTCTTTGATTAATACTGTGCAAGACGTTCTTCTCTTAGCTGCTTTGCTTCCTCACTTTCCTCCTCCTCCTCAAATTCAAAGACGTCAATGTTATCGTCATCTTTACTGTCTGTAGCTCCACTTCCTGTGGTGTCTTCCATATTAGCAGGGCCGTACTTGTCCATAGCTTTCTTCCCTCCTGGCAGGCTGGCCTTTCCTTCTCATAAGACTTAATGTGGTTGACCAGTGTAGAGCATGACTTAGGTTGGCAGGTGAGGGGCTGGGGATGGTTTGAAACACCATCATATCTACTTGCATGTACCTCTCAATGTCTCGATGTAGCTCTTTTCAGTCAAGTAATCATTGAGGATGTGGAAGCCAGCAGCAGGCTAGAAGTCCCCAAAGCCCCATTGTCAGCTTTGCCTGGAGCCAAGCAGCAGTGGAAAACCAAACCTAGGCTTTTGAATACCAATAGTAGCAGTGGAGTGTTTTGGGGTTTTTTTACATATATTTATTTTGTATTGTTTTGTATACAAAATAATATACATTGTATTTCATTTATAAACATTTTGTTTCTCACATTCCTTGTGTTTCTTATGATTATTACCATACACTGCATTTTATAAAACCAATCACCCTTGATCAATGCTCACTATCACCCCATCTTTTCAGGTCCCCACTAGACCTTTCCTAATTCCTTCACACTGTCCCTACATCCAACAAACTGTTGTGACCCAGTGATTCCTCCCCTCTCCATCCTCAACCCTTCTGTTTCTTCCCCTTCCCCCATTGAACTGTCATACACATCGTACTAGTTTCTGTTTTTATAATAATGGACTTAGACAGCATTTGTCCTTATGAGACAGATTTAATTCACTCAGCATAATGCTCTCTATCTCTCCCAAGTTATATACTGTTTTTCACAATCATTCCTCCTGAGTGCTGCGTAGTATTCCAGAGTGTAAATGTACCGCAGGGGCGGGCCTTTGTATTTAAAAGTTGGTAGAGCCCTGACTAAGTCTCCAGCTTGGAGGCTCATATGTGAAGCGGTTGGATTCTGGAAGATGAGTTCTCTTGGAGGGTCTGGTGTGGACTGTTTGGTTGTTTTTATTTCATTTACAATTGGGTATGAGCTGATTAGATTTGCTGGATTTAGCTAACAATGACCTATGGACTGGAAGCCTCTTGTTTAAAGGCAGTCTGGACCTGGCATTGTGTTTGGGACTAACATTCTTCTAAGTGGTACAACACTGGTCTGTCAATTAGCTGTAGTGAGGTAACTTGGGGTTGTTGTGATGCTGAACACTGTGCCACTGGTATGTCAAATGCTATAATGGTTACCCATGGTAAACAGTGCTTGGTGGAGCTCCCAGATTAAGATGGTCTTGGAAGTAGGAGTAGCATCCACTTCCTAAACAACATGCCTCTGGAAACTCTATGAACTTAGAGAAACAACAGCAGTTTTAGGACAAGGTTCATCTTTTTTTCATAGGGTTGCTATGAGTCATGCTCGACAACAACTGTACCAAATCATCCGTTCTCAAACTAATCGTTTGTTGATGGAAGCAGTAGAGGGTTTTGTGGTATAACATACTTATCTTCATGTTTTAAAGTCATCTATCAAAATATTGTTTATAGGGTTGCTATGAGTTGTACGCTCAAGGGCGCCTAACAACCAAAAGTTAGAACTGACAAAACCTGTTAGTAACCTAAAAAGTTTATTACTTCTGTTGTTAGCTATAGGGTTTTTTTCACTTCATAATAAATAGATAACACAT